CCGCAGTCACCACCTTTGTCAGCATATCAGCAGGATTCTCTGTAGTATGAATTTTCTTCACCGTGACTCCACCTTCTTCTATGATTTCTCGTACGAAATGATACCGAACATCAATGTGCTTCGTCCTTGCATGATAAACTTGGTTCTTCGCTAATTGAATAGCACTTTGACTATCACAAAAAATTGTGATACCTTTTTGTTCAACACCAAGCTCCTTTAGCAATCCTTGAAGCCAAATTGCCTCTTTCACAGCCTCTGTAATAGCCATGTACTCTGCCTCTGTTGTAGACAAAGCAACTGTTGACTGCAAAGTAGACTTCCAACTAACTGGTGCCTTTGCAAAAGTAAACACATAACCAGTAGTTGATCTTCGTTTGTCCAGATCACCCGCAAAATCTGAGTCACAATATCCAACTACAGACTGATTGCCTTCCTACTCAAAAACTAACCCAACATCTACAGTATTATGAATATACCGTAAAATCCACTTCACAACTTGTCAATGCTCCTTTCCTGGATTATGCATATATCTGCTAATAACTCCAACAGCTTGTGAAATATCAGGTCCCGTACAGACCATTGCATACATCAAGCTACCAACAACATTTGTGTATGGTACCTTTGACATATACTCTCGTCCAGCTTCATCCTTTGGCGACATAGTATTACTTAGCTGAAAATGGGGAGTAAGTGGAGTACTAACTGGCTTAGTCTTTTCATCTATGCCAAAACGTTGTAGTACTCTTTTCAAATATTCTTTCTGAGATAAACAGAGTTTCTTTGAACGTCTATCTCTTATTATCTCCATGCCAAGAATTTTCTTTGCCTCACCCAAATCCTTCATCTCGAACTCCTTCTTCAGTTGAATCTTCAACTTATCAATTTCTTCCGAATTCTTGGAAGCTATCAACATATCATCAACATATAGGAGAAGATATACAAAGGAACCATCTTTAAGCTTGTGCAAATACACACAATGATCGTATTTGCTTCTCTTGTACCCTTGCCGCAACATAAACTCGTCAAATCGCTTGTACCATTGTCTAGAAGATTGTTTCAATCCGTACAACGATTTTTCAAGTTTGCACACCATATTTTCTTTTCCAGCAACTTTGAATCCTTCTGGCTGAGTCATGTAGATTTCCTCCTCCAAGTTTCCATGTAAAAACGCAGTTTTTACATCCATCTGAACTAGTTCCAAATTCAACTGTGCTACCAAAGCCAACATAATTCTAATGGAGGAATGTTTTACAACTGGAGAAAACACTTCATTGTAATCAATTCCCTCCTTTTGAGCATATCCTTTGGCCACCAATCTTGCTTTGTAGCGAACATCTACTTGGTTAGGAAATCCTTCTTTCTTTGCAAATACCCATTTGCACCCAATTGCTTTCTTTCCCTTCGGGAGATTGGCCAATCTCCATGTATGATTCTGATGAAGGGACTGTATTTCATCATTCATGGCAATCCTCCACTTATCTTCTTCTGAACTTTGGACAGCGTTTTTATAAGTGGTAGGAACATCATCATCTACAATTAAGGTTGCACAAGCAACCGTCTCTATGAGACGAACAGGTTTCATTATAGTCCTTTTTGGCCTGCTGGTTGCTATTGATTCAAGTTGTTATTGAGGTTCCTGAGTTGGAATCTCCTCTACTGNCATAAACTCGTCAAATCGCTTGTACCATTGTCTAGAAGATTGTTTCAATCCGTACAACAATTTTTCAAGTTTACACACCATATTTTCTTTTCCAACAACTTTGAATCCTTCTGGCTGAGTCATGTAGATTTCCTCCTCCAAGATTCCATGTAAAAACATAGTTTTTACATCCATCTGANCTGAATATTACTTTCTTTGTCATAGAACACCATAAGCGATATCCTTTGACTCCAGAAGTAATTCCCATAAAAATAGCCTTCGTTCCCATAAAAAAAGCGATATCCTTCGTTGCCCTCCTTTTGAGCATATCCTTTGGCTACCAATCTTGCTTTGTAGCGAACATCTACTTGGCTAGGAAATCCTTCCTTCTTTGCAAATACCCATTTGCACCCAATTGCTTTCTTTCCCTTCGGGAGATTGGCCAATCTCCATGTATGATTCTGATGAAGGGACTGTATTTCATCATTCATGGAAATCCTCCACTTATATTCTTCTGAACTTTGGACTGCATTTTTATAAGTGGTAGGAACATCATCAGCTACAATTGAGGTTGCACAAGCAACCGTCTCTATGAGACGAACAAGTTTCGTTATAGTCCTTTTTGGCCTGCTGGTTGTTATTGATTCAAGTTGTTATTGAGGTTCCTGAGTTGGAATCTCCTCTACTGGCTCTCCTTCCAGAGGGTAATCTTCATTTGTTTCCTCCTCTGCTTCTTGTGTAGGAAAAATAAATTTTCCCTCAAACTCCACCTGCTTAGAAGCACCTTCATTTTGTTTGGTATCTTCTGTTACCTTATTTACCATAGCAAATTCATCAAAGGTAACATCTCTGCTGAATATTACTTTCTTTGTCATAGGACACCATAAGCGATATCCTTTGACTCCAGAAGTAATTCCCATAAAAATAGCCTTCTTTGCCCTTGGATCCAATTTTGACTCCGTCACATGATAATATGCAGTTGAGCCAAACACGTGCAAAGAGTTATAATCTACAGCAGGTTTTCCATACCATTTTTCAAATAGTGTCTTGCCATCAATAGCAGCATATGGTAGACGATTAATGAGGTGGCATGCATATGTAATTGCATCAGCCCAAAAATTTTGCCCAAGCCAGCATTGGACAACATACACCGTACCTTCTCCAACAAGGTCCGGTTCATACGCTCTGTCACTCTATTCTGTTGTGGTGTATGTCTAACAGTGAAGTGTCGGACGATGCCATCATTTTCACAGACCTTATTGAAATGATCATTTTTGTATTCACCTCTATTGTCTGTGCGAATACACTTGATCTTCCTGCCTGTTTGATTCTCCACCATCGTCTTCCATTTGAGAAAAATTCCCAATACTTCATCTTTGCTTTTCATTGTTTACACCCACACTCTTCGGGAAAAATCATCAACAAAGGTTATAAAATAATGCTTCCCACCCAATGAAGGTATTTTGGAAGGACCCCAAACATCAGAGTGTACATAATCCAAAATGCCTTTAGTATTATGGATCGCTGTACCAAATTTAACCCTTGTCTGTTTCCCTTTGACACAATGCTCACAAAACTCCAAGTTGCAAGCCTTTACTCCTTTTAACAATCCTTGATCTGATAGAGTTTTCAAGGATTTTCCTCCAGCATGTCCCAAGCGCATGTGCCATAGCCTGGTTGTTTCTGCCTCTTTTTCGTCACTGGATGTTACTATCGTTGTCCCAATAATTATACTACCGCGGTAATGGTATATGTTATTGTTCTTCCGATTGGCCTTCATTACCACTAGTGCACCAGNCCGATTAGCCTTCATTACCACTAGTGCACCGGAGCATACTCTCATCACTCCATTTTCTGCAATGATTTTGAACCCTTTTGATTCTAGGGCTCCCACAGAGATGAGATTCTTCTTCAAATCCGGTACATATCGAACATCTGTTAATGTTCTGATCATTACATCATAGTTCCTTAATCGTATTGAACCACTGCCATATGAGGTAAGAGGGATGTTATCCGCTGTGTGGATGACTCCATATTCTCCTTCTTGAAATTCCACNNATGCCCCTTTTCTCGACAAAAGGCACATTCATCTTTGTTGGATTTAGATCTTGAATTGGATCTTCCCTTCTTTGTCCTCATTTGATTTTGAGGACGACCCCTCACAACTAGTGCTTCTCTTTCTCCGCCCTTTTGTTTTTCTCCCTTTCTTTGTTCATAGCTATACAAATCCGAACAAACTTCTCTGAGAGAAATTTCGTCATTCCTATAGAGTAAAGTAGTTTCAAGGTGCTCGTACTCATCAGGAAGTGACCTCAATAACATCAAGGCCAAGTCACCATCATCAAATGTTGCATCCATATTTTGCAAATCTGTGACCAACTTATTGAAACTGGTGATATGTTCGTTCATTGTGGTACTAGGAACATAGGTGAAGCGAAACAGTCTCTTCTTCATGTACAATTTATTTTGACTATTTTTTTTCAAAAATTTATCCTCCAGTGCTTTCCATAATTTACTCGCAGAAGTTTCCTTTGTGTATGGATATTTTTGTTCTCTAGCAAGGTAGGATCGAATGGTACCGCAAGCAACACGGTTGATAATTCTCCAATCTTCTTCTCCAATAACATCTGTTCTTTTTTCTTCAATGGCAAGATCTAGCCCTTGTTGAAAAAGGACATCTAGAACCTCGCCTTGCCACATCCCAAAATGTCCTGATCCGTCAAAAATTTCCACCGCAAATTTCGCATTTGACACAATTCTTGTCATAAGCGAAGATGTCAATGATGATGTATTGTTGATACTTGATGTAGATTTTTCTTGTTTATTGTCTACCATCTTTGACACAAATATTATTTAATAGCTCACGACAAAAATCAAGATTATTTCCTTTCTGGTGTGAAAGATCAGACTAAGTTGCAACCACAGAGCATACTCAGACAGAACCTTGACTCAGTTACCAAGATAAATCTTTTCTGATGTGGAAGATCAGACTATGCTGCAACCACAGAGCATACCTAAACCGTACCTTGGCTCTGATACCAATTGTTGTGGAAGCCAAATGTATATAGTGTGAATAAGTCACAACTACTATACCAAAAATTATGACAGCCATCAAATAATAAATAAGACAATAAAACAATAATAAAGGAAACACCAGAATTTACGAGGTTCAGCCAATTTTGCCTACTCCTCATACACAACCAATATTTTATTCCACTCCAAAAATACAAGTGAAATAATACTAAAGAGAGAAGATACGAATTCCTTAAGAAAATAAAAAGGCAAATGAGAGGTGTGTTTAAATCCTAAACATTAGGCCTCCTTTTATAGGGTGAAGTACCAACCAAAATTGGTATTTCAGATGTGGGATTTCTGTCATTCAACAGTAATAACCATGAAGAAGTAGTTCTTCATAATGATGCAGATCTTTTAGGCATTGAAAATCATAAGTCAATGCTGCCTGATTAGGTTCTTTCTGATGATCCAGAATGGAAATTGCATTGTGTAGTTGGAAGTAGAGGTATAGGGAAAACCGCCCTAGTCAAGAAAGTCTATGATGATGATGCAGTGAAAAAGCATTTCAATCATACACTGTGGCTTGAGATTCCAAGGGTTTCTGATGTTAAGGAGCTAATGAAGAACATGATTACTATAAACAATGACCATTCTCGTCGAGTCATTGAAGCCATGGATACTAACATGTTGGCACAGTTCATCCGACAACTCATTGAGTCATCAAGGTACTTTATTGTCCTTGATGATGTCCCTGACATTGGTATATGGAGGGCTCTCAAATGTACATTTCCTATTGAAAACTGTGGCAGTAGGATCATCATCATATCGCGTTCTCCTGAACTATGCCATAACATTTGTGTGGAAACACGCGGTGATAGTCACGTTTATAGTTTGAATTTATCTGAGGAAGAATCTTGGATTCTTTTCTGCAGAAAGGTATTTTCAGGCAGCCTAGTACGTCCTCTACCCTTGATGCAAATCTCCAAAGACATCGTAGAAAAATGCAACGGTTTTCCACTGGCAATTTTGGTGATTGCTTGTGCACTGGCCACCAAAGGGAAGAACACAGAGGCATGGGAGTTGTTTCACGGCAGCCTTGTTGCCAAGCTACAAGGTAGTTATAGTGAAGTCGAGCACATGAAAAGGATACTCGACCTATGTTATCAAGACTTGCCTTTCTATCTCAAGTCTTGTTTCATATATCTGAGCATAATTCCAAAAGATCATGTCATCGATAAGATGAGACTGATTCGACTGTGGGCAGCAGAAGGACTTGTCGTTGAAAGAGAAGGAAAGGCAATTGCACAAGTTGCTGAAAGCTATCTCAATGAACTTGCAAACAGAAGCTTGATCCAAGTTGCTAGAAAGCATCCTGATGGAAGGTTAGAGTCATTCAGAATCCATAACTTGTGGTATGAATTCATTCTTTCCAAATCAAGAGAAAGGAGTCACAAGGTCAGACATCTAGTAATCCATGATCATTTGTCTAATGATATACAAGACATTGATCAGTTTAAGCATCTTCGCACTCTAATAACGCTCGGGTCATCAGCTTCTGTCTCTAGCTCATTATTGTTGAAGCTGTTATCTGGCAGTTTTAAGCTACTCAAGGTTTTAGACTTAAAAGGAGCCCAATTAGTGAAAATCCCAGAATAAGTCTTTGAATTGATTCATCTCAGGTGTCTAAACTTGAGGAGCACTAAGATAAAACATATTCCAGGATCAATAGGGAAGCTTGAGAACCTTGAGTTCTTGGATCTAAGGGAGACATTGGTAAACAAATTGCCAGTCGAGATACTAAAGCTTCAAGAACTTCGCCATATCTTCAGCAATCACTTTGCTGCTGGTTATATACATGGTTTTGAAGCTCCTAATAAGATAGGAACCCTTGTGTCCTTAGAAATGGTGAATCGTATAAATGCAACTACAAGCACACTGATTGAATTGGGAAAGCTAACAAGACTAAGAATGTTATACATCGCAAAGCTGAGAAGAAAACATGGAAGGGATCTTTGTTCTTCCCTTGACAAGTTGATAAATCTTCAACAACTAACTATCTCATCTTTTGGGGTGGGTGACATAATTGACTTGCACTATCCCCTTCATTCTACACACTCATCCCTTCGAACATTAGTCTTCGAAGGGCGTTTAGAGAGGTTTCCACAATGGGTAACATCTCTTCAAGTCCTAGCCATTGTTGTTTTAAGAGGGAGCAAGTTAATGGACAATGCACTAGAAACTCTTCAAGATTTGCCCAACCTTGTCAAACTCGTCCTAGACCGAGCCTTTGAAGGAGAAGAATTGAGGTTCGGGGCAGGTAGATTCAAGAAGCTGAAGATATTATGCATTTTGCACTCTACAAAGTTGAGACAGATGAAAGTGGAAGAGGGTGCAATGCCTTTTCTTGAAGAGCTTCAACTGTGCAACTGTGGATTAATGGAGGATTTGCCCTTTGGGATTGAGCATTTGAGGAAGCTTGGTTATCTTTTGCTGGAAGAAATTTCTGAAAAGCTGTTAATGACTCTGCAGCTTAAGGACAGTCAAAGTGGGGATTACTGGAAAATTGCTCATATTACTAGAGTTCATGTGAAAATGTTGTAAGGTAGATAAGAATGGGATGATGCAAGAAAAGAGAAACAAAGTTGATAATTCGGTATATAACTTTGTAAGATTATTAGCAGTTCTTGTTTTCTCATTTTTATGTTTCTCATTCTGGACTTTCGGTTGTATCATGAATGCCTTTTCCCATATGAATTTCATTAATCAAATGAACAACTTGTTGTCATCAGAGGCGGACTCAGGATTCGAAAGTGGAAAAGGCGTCACTGTCGAATAAATATTAAAGCAAATGCTAGAGTCGGAATTGAACCCAGGCAGCACACTAAAGTCAAGTTGAGTCCCCCAAATCGACTAATGCTGCCTAAGATTTGAATTTTAGGATGTCAATCAAAATATATACTTGTTATTTAAGATATATACACATATATACATATATTTTTTCCAAAGTTACCGGGAGTCGGTGACCCACCTACCCAAAGGGTAGGTCTGCCTCTGGCTGCATATCTGTACATGATGCCACTTTTACAACTAAAGATCCATGTACCAGTCAGCTGTCATTAACGGGACTACAAGCTAAATCATCAACATGGCTAAGAAATAATTCCACACAAGGAACACTCCAGTTGACAATGGGTACTTTAGACAGCCAGTAATTGACCAAATCAAGTGCCAAATAGCTTACCATGTTCAGTCCATTAAAAGTCAGATCATATAGCATAAAAGGACAGCCCAGTGCACTAAGCTCCCGCTATGTGCGGGATCCCGGGAAGGGCCGGACCACAAGGGTCTATTGCACGCAGCCTTACCATGCATTTCTACAAGAGGCTGTTTCCATGGCTTAAACCCGTGACCTCCTGGTCACATGACAGCAACTTTACCAGTTACGCCAAGACTCACCTTCTCAGATCATATAGCATGAATTATTTTTTTTTTTAAAAAGAAGATAAATGCTCCAACTAGACACTAGGCAGCAAGTGTGTGATGATTTGAGTAAAAGAGCAGATGCTACAGGTGTTCGAGATGCTGTGCAATTAGAAAAAACTGGTGGAAGTAAGGGTTCAGTTGTTCATGATCGAGATATGAATTCCAAGGGTGAAGCAGCTGGTGTATATGTAGTTTTGGAGGCTGGGCAACCTGGTAAAGGAAGGGATCAGATTGAGCCTCAGAATACTAATCTTATCACTACAGGTACGGGGCAAAATACTCTAGCGCAAGGGCAGAAAATAGCAGATGTTTCTAGTGTTGCTACAATTCCAGTTTCTGCAGCTCGTGCTAGGGTATCAACGGAATTGAATCCTGTTACAGTTCCTATATCTGTTCGTGCTTCAGCAGGGGTTACTAAAGGACCAGGGGATAAGCAAAAATCTGATGAAGTTGAGCGTCAAACAATTAATGCACATGTGATTCTTTATGCAGGCCAAGCTGGTGCAATTCTAGAAAACAAAACTGATACTCCTGAGTTGAATAAAATTGTTGATCGAGTGGTGTCTAAGATTGATAAACCTACTGCTGCAAATACAAAATCAGCAGGTTTACAGGCTGGAACTAATGACGCTTCTAAGGAAGGTGTAAAGAGTGATAACATTCATGGGAAAAAGGCTGAAAACTGGACAATGGTGTCCAGCAAAATAGGATCTCCAAGAAATAAAAAAGTGAAGCAGCTGGCGCAAAAGCAAGGAGTTGAATTTACTAATTCTTTTGATGCCTTAGGCAACGACCAGGAACAAGTGGTAAATAAGGAGAGAAAGAGGATACAGCAGTTTCTGATGCACGAACCTTTTTTGGATGATACTGCGACGACTATCCAACAGTGTGATCGCGAGGCAGCTACAAAATCTTGGATGCATAAATCTCCAGGCAGTCCAGAACAACAGATACATTCTAATGCAGAGGCACACAGATTCAATGCACCTACATTGGATTTCTCCAATCCACAGGTTGAATAAATCATTAAAGATGTTCAAAAAGATATGATGATGAACAATCCCATGGTCAAACAACCTTTGGTCACCTTAAACAAATCTGTTTTTGAGGTTCCTTCTCAGTCAATGGAATCTTGTGGAGAGGTTGAAGGTGAAACTGGGCAACTTATGTTATCAACGGGGAATAACAATGATGCTATACAAGGAAATTTGAGGTTGATGGCTATCAAGTCTAAACTTTGGCTAGAACAACGGGAGGATGATGATGAAGAGGATTGGGGAGATGGTTTTGCTGGCTATTCATCAGAAGAGGCTGATCGTGAGGCTAATCATGAGAGTGCAGGTGAGGAGATTGATTCCTTAGCGATGGTAATATCTGAACGAGTGCCAGCAGCAAGTCCAACGAGCAATTTGAACTCCAATGCTCCTGCATTCGTTCCCAGAAATCCTTCATCTCCAGCTTTTCAAAATGCAGCAGCTGGAACACCTACAACTACTGTGCAACAGCAGCAAATTAATCCCAACACCTCAAACACAAAGCCTAATGGTGATCGAACAAAAGCAGGAACACCAACATCTGGGCAGTTCCAAACTGTGACAACAAGTGCTCCTGCAAGAACATCTACAAGGCAAGGTACGCCAGCTGCAACTCATATAGGTGCAACATCGACCAAACAGCCCACGTCAGGTATCCATACAAGTCCTATTGAACAGCAACAACAAAATGATCCAAACGCTACAGCTAGGACTCCTACTGGTAATTGCAAAACAGTAACAATTTCACAGGTTGGGCAGCAACAGCTCGTAACCACTGCTCCAGTTATTTCGTTAGACGAAAGACAACTTTTGGATACAATGGTAAGTTCTGATCCTAAAAAAGCTTTAAATCTTGCTATTTCAAGCACTGGTCATGAGAATATGAGCAGGAACAAATCACAACAAAGTAAGGCAAGTCTGGTTAATGCACAAGCTGGCAATACATTGATGACTCAGGGTGTTTCTCAAGACATGCCAAATCCACTATTGGTAGGTAGAGATATATATGAAGAAGGGGAGGAAGATGATATCTTAAATCAATGTCGGGCAGAGGCATCAAGAAAAGGTGACCTATCACCTATGCATAGTGGAAAAATAAAGAAGGCACATACAAGGAAAAATAGTTGGGACGACAAGGTCAGCGATTTTTTAAATGTTAGGCGACCTCCAATGAGAGTTGCCAAACAAAAGAAGGCTGCCCCAACTACATCTACAAAGTCCAATCGTTCAAAAAAGAAATCATGATTTTTGAATACATCTTGAAGAATTGGGGTTGTGATGAAAAAGAATTACAACTTGAAGAAATTACAAGTTCGGACAAGAAGGGACAACATTTTAATTCCTTCATCATTTTATTCTACCATTATATTAGTATACTCATTTGTAATATCATCACAGAGTATGTTATAAACTCTGTGATGATCATTGAATATTTGGTACTTTCTAGTTCTTATTTTTTACATGCATGCTAGTAGGTGAGGTTTTTTATGCCTCAATAGGATTAGTAAGGTAAGGTTTAGCACGGTTTGTGTTTCCTTGGTCCTATGCCTTTGGAAATTATCCACACGGCTATAAGATTATATGCCCTCGTGAGACTTTGCAGGCAGCTACACCATGAATCCTCTACATGAGGCTGCCATAGGCAATGTGAGGTGCAGAGGAGTGATTATATAGCCAAGGCATATGGGTAACAATACCGATGCCATTGTCCCCCTTATTTGTACTTTTCCTAACTGTTGTATTTTTCTTTTCTTCTATTAATAAAAAACTAGCCCTAGGCACTTGCCTAGCGGATTGCCAAAAAAAAAGTAGTAGTATAACTACAAAAATAATATAATAAAGTAAAATATTAAATAAAAAACTAGTAATAACTGGTAAAATGTTTCTTAACTTGCTATTTGCAATCATCATTTGTGAAACACAGTTCTAGTACCTTGACTGATTCAAAGTTTGATTTATATAAATTGATCAGGAAAGTCAAACATCAATTACATCAACAATCGATGTCCCTATACTGCCTTAGTCAACTGTGCCAAATTGCTGGCCACGTTAAGTGTATTTAAAGTCAGCTCATATAGCATGAATTGAAAAAAAGGAAATATCCTCCCACTAGTTGTAGCAAAATTGATACTAATAACTAGGATACTATTTCTTAAGCTTGCAATTTGCAATAATCACTCGCGTAACGCGGTTATATTCCCTAACAAGTTCAAACTTTGATCTACATAAATTGATCGCGAAAGTCTATTATTAACTACACCAACATCTTGCACTAAATTTGCTAAAGAAATTATATACTGAGGGAAAAAATGGCAGAGAGTGCTATATCTTATTTGGTACATCAGTTTTCAGCTTGGCTCCGCGGTGGACAAAAATGTTTTGAAGGAATTGAACAAGAAATTGTTCATATCAGGGATGCATTTGAACAAATGAGGACTTTCTCAAGAGTAGCTGATGCTAAAGAAGAAGAAGATGCTGGATTACAAGTATGGATCAAACAAGTACAAGAACTTGCACATGATGTCCAAGACATTCTTGAAAAACATGTTGTTATGTGCAACAATTTTCAAGAAAAGGTATCATGGCCATGGAAAAAACCCCATCATTCATTAATGTCTAAGAAGTTCTTAGAAGCTCAGAATGATAATCTTCTAGTGATGTTGGAAGGTGTCAGGGCCCGAATCATCGTCACTTCTGAAGGACACAAAACATTTCTTCAGAAATATGGTGCTATACCAACTGTGGAAAGTAGCAATATTTCATGGTGCAATAACCATGAAGAAGTAATTCTTGAAGATGATGCAGATCTTGTAGGTGTTGAAAATCATAAATCAATGCTTCTTGACTGGTTACTTTCTGATGATCAAGAATGGAAATTGCTTTCTATAGTTGGAACTAGAGGTATAGGGAAAACTGCCCTAGTCAAGAAAATCTTTGATGATGCAGCAGTGAGTAAGAATTTCAATCGAACTATATGGATTGAGATTCCAAGGTTTTCTGATGTTACAGATATGTTGTTGAGCATGGTTAATCTAAACGATGACCATACCCGTCGAGCACTTGAAACCATGAATGGTAACATGT